GTGAAATGTGAAGTGTTATGGGCAATAACAGCAACATACCTAAGGTTATATATAAGGTTGGCTTAATGAATAGAAATTAATCTCAATTTCACACGTCTCGACTATATATATGTGTGTGTGTAACTGATTGGACTTGTCCAGTGAAAACCAGTTTCATCAAAAATCAAAACTAGTGGCAATTTCGACCAAATTTGAAGTATCATACACCATTGTTGCTGACTAAGGAGAGGGATGAGTAGAGGTCATTTGGTTTGGAAGTCCCATGTAGGGTTGCTTGGCTTTTAGCTTTTGGATGCAGTGAAAAATTATGGGCCGGTGGTGCTAAGACAAATTTACAGAGTGTTTGAACTTAATAATATCTATTATTATTATAAGAGTGAAAGAATCTGTCATAATATTTGAACTTAAAACTAGTAAGGCAGAACTGCTCCACTTTCTCAAACTGGTGAACTCGGAAAATCCCAAGAGTATCGCGACCATGAGAACCTGCTTCTTTGCAGAAGCAAGAAGAATATCCAGATATCTAGTAATTCATGCAACATAAATTCAACAAAGCGCAGCCACTAAAATTTATAGCCAAAAAAATAAAACATAAAAGCCACCATCTAAAAAGCAGAAACACTTCTAAAAAGGGTGTTGTTTCCATGTTCAACGTTGGACACAGACACTTGTTAGACACACACCCACACATATCGGACACATGACCAAGCATGTCCTATTTATTTATTAAAAATGCAGTCATTATCATTTTCATGTTATAAATATTTTTAAAAGTTGTCAAAGTGCTCGTATCGTGTCATATCTGTGTCCATGCTCCAACATTCTTTAGTAGCCATAAAGGCAACTATCATTCATGGAGTAGTTATAACCTTATTTGGTAGCTGTGAAGGATGGATCCAATCATCTAGATGATAAGCACATAGTGGCAGAATTATTCAAACTGTGGAGACAAACAGACTCTGTAATAACTCTAATTAAAAACCAAATAAGACAAAATTATTCAAAGCTAATTTGTACAGGCAGTTATTTCCACAAAATACAAACTTTGGAATTCCCCTCGTCTTTGGAAGCAAAATCAGTGTAAACCACAACTTACTAATAAGTAAAAAAATGAAAACACACAATGTCCCAAAGTAAAAACACAGAAATAGGTCCTACTAAGTACTCATTGATTATTCGTCACCCTTTCATATGATTCCTTTTAATTGCATGCCTTTAAAATGAAAAAGAAAAAAAATGTGGCAATCCATTGTCTTGTTCTTTTCCAGTGAGCCAAAATTATTGCAAACTTCGGAGCACCACAAGTCCTCTGCCCCATTCATTTCTACCAAAGTAACAAGGCCTTATGTTTAATCCACTTTCTTTCCTATTTGAATAATGCTGAGCATGTTATTTTTAGCACCATGTTTGTACTAATATTTCTTCTCATCAAAAAGAAAAGAAAAAAAATGTAGGAACTTTGGTTAAAGCTTGCTTACCTCTTCAGGCCGGGAACTTTCTGTTGGCCTCACACGTTTTTTATGAACAACAACCTTCCGTTGCTTTAGTTCGTTATTCATAGGTCCAAGCCTGTAGAGAAATATGCAGAGTAACACATGAAAATCCAAATCTAAAATTGAACATTACAATCACAGAAAATCGAGGATACCACTACACACATACATGGTGCAACATCCAGGAGCCTTCATGAAAACATGAGAAACTGCTAGACCAACATCCTTCCAAGCTATAGAGTTCCTAACCATCCTCTGTGCTAGTACTTGCCCCACCTTGTCGCCCAAAATCTCTGAGCAGACAGTTTACAAAGTCTGAAGGGGTAATTCCCTCTTTACTGTGTGCTTTAATAGATGTAACCAACGTGTTCGTGAATGTTCAACAGAGCTTCAACATCTGCAACTTGTTCTCTAGGTTTCTGTACTGAAAACCAAATTCAAGAAAACAATATTGTTTGTAGATTTCAGCCCACCAATAACCAGACTAATACATACACATAATAAATTCAGATGATTAAGCTAGAATCAACTTGCTTGAAGAACAACACCATTTAAGAAATTTAAAAAAACCCATAAAGAATATAGGGCAAATTACACCGATGATCCCTATATTTTAACCCCTTGTATATTTGGTCCCTACACTTCCAATTGACTCAATTTTGACCATTAATTTTAAATTTTCGTCAATTTCGTCTAATTGATAATATCAATGTGCTTTTTAAGAAAAAATTATCACTAAATTAATTGAAGTTAACACACTGAGCTTGATAAGTTTATAATATTACCTTTAAAAATATGGCATATGACACTTATGTATATATTTTTTATTAAAAAAAATACTAAGAGTTATAACAAATTGGACCAAACTGAGACAAAATCATTAAATTCAAGATTGAGAGGGAGATTTATGATCTGGATTGGGCCGTGGAATGGGCCGGACAGATTTGGGCCGGACAGAGTTGTGCCGGACAGATTTGGGCCGGACAGAGTTGTGCCAGACAGATTTGGGCCGAACAGGTGTTGGGCCCAAGTTGTGTGGCCCAGCCTTGAAGGAAGCTGCTCGGTTAAGGCAGCGCGTGGATTGACCGAGCTGCAAGGATCCGCGGTTACGAAGCCGGTCAGGTGAAAGGTCCAGGGCTAGGAAAGGCAAGGTTGGACCGAGGTACCTTTTGCTCGGCAGGAAGGTCTACCGCAGACAAGCGTGAGTTGTCCCGAACTCGGCTTTGCCGAGATGCCGCCGAGTCCGGTCCTCATCTGAGCTTAGCTGTTGGAGTACTTGGGCTTGAAGCGCAGCATGGCAGAACCGATGGCCGAGATGGTACTTTCCCGGCTGCCGAGCTCCTAGCCCTGGACCTTTCACCTGACCGGCTCGTAACCGCGGATCCTTGCAGCTCGGTCAATCACGCGCTGCCTTAACCGAGCAGCTTCCTTCAAGGCTGGGCCACACAACTTGGCCCAACACCTGTTCGGCCAAATCTGTCTGGCACAACTCTGTCCGGCCCAAATCTGTCCGGCACAACTCTGTCCGGCCCAAATCTGTCCGGCCCAATTCCACGGCCCAATCCAGATCATAAATCTCCCTCTCAATCTTGAATTTATGATTTTGTCTCAGTTGGTCACATTTGTTATAACTCTTAGTATTTTTTAAATAAAAAATATATACATAAGTGTCATATGCCATATTTTTAAAGGTAATATTATAAACTTATCAAGCTCAGTGTGTTACCTTCAATTAATTTAGTGATATTTTTCTTAAAAAGCACATTGATATTATCAATTAGCGAAATTGACGGCAAAATTTAAAATTAATGGTCAAAATTGAGTCAATTGGAAGTGTAGGGACCAAATGATACAAGGGGTAAAATATAGGGATCATCGGTGTAATTTGCCCTAATATTCTTTATGGGTTTTTTAAATTTCTTTAAATGGTGTTGTTCTTCAAGCAAGTTGATTCTAGCTTAATCATCTAAATTTATTATGTGTATGTGTTAGTCTGGTTATTGGTGGGCTGAAATCTACAAACAATATTGTTTTCTTGAATTTGGTTTTCAGTACAGAAACCTAGAGAACAAGTTCCAGATGCTGAAGCTCTGTTGAACATCATGAACACGTTGGTTACATCTGTTAAAGCACACAGTAAAGAGGGAATTATCCCTTCAGACTTTGTAAACTGTCTGCTCAGAGATTTTGGGCGACAAGGTGGGGCAAGTACTAGCACAGAGGATGGTAGGAACTCTATAGCTTGGAAGGATGTTGGTCTAGCAGTTTCTCATGTTTTCATGAAGGCTCCTGGATGTTGCACCATGTATGTGTGTAGTGGTATCCTCGATTTTCTGTGATTGTAATGTTCAATTTTAGATTTGGATTTTCATGTGTTACTCTGCATATTCTCTACAGGCTTGGACCTATGAATAACGAACTAAAGCAACGGAAGGTTGTTGTTCATAAAAAATGTGTGAGGCCAACAGAAAGTTCCCGGCCTGAAGAGGTAAGCAAGCTTTAACCAAAGTTCCTACATTTTTTTTCTTTTCTTTTTGATGAGAAGAAATATTTAGTACAAACACGGTGCTAAAAATAACATGCTCAGCATTATTCAAATAGGTAAGAAAGTGGATTAAACATAAGGCCTTGTTACTTTGGTAGAAAATGAATGGGGCAGAGGACTTATGGTGCTCCGAAGTTTGCAATTTCTGGCTCACTGGAAAAGAACAAGACAATGGATTGCCACATTTTTTTTCTTTTTCATTTTAAAGGCATGCAATTAAAAGGAATCATATGAAAGGGTGACGAATAATCAATGAGTACTTAGTAGGACCTATTTCTGTGGTTTTTATCTTTTGGGACATTGTGTTTTCATTTTTTTACTTTATTAGTAAGTTGTGGTTTACACTGATTTTGCTTCCAAAGACGAGGGCAATTCCAAAGTTTGTATTTTGTGGAAATATAGTGCCTGTGCAAATTAGCTTTGAATAATTCTGTCTTATTTGGTTTTAATTAGAGTTATTACAGAGTCTGTTTGTCTCCACAGTTTGAATAATTCTGCCACTATGTGCTTATCATCTAGATGATTGGATCCATCCTTCACAACTACCAAATAAGGTTATAACTACTTCCATGAATGATAGTTGCCTTTATGGCGACTAAAGAATGTTGGAGCATGGACACAGATATGACACGATACGAGCACTTTGACAACTTTTAAAAATATTTATAACATGAAAATGATAATGACTACATTTTTAATAAATAATAGGACATGCTTGGTCATGTGTCCGATATGTGTGGGTGTGTGTCTAACAAGTGTCTGTGTCCAACGTTGAACATGGAAACAACACCTTTTTAGAAGTGTTTCTACGTTTTAGATGGTGGCTTTTATGTTTTATTTTTTTGGCTATAAATCTTTAGTGGCTGCGCTTTGTTGAATTTATGTTGCATGAATTACCAGAATGTCTTTTGTCCAAAGAATCATGTTTTGATGGTTGGTTCCTTTAGAGTGGTTCCATCATAGTTGGAATTGTGATTCTATCTTGACAAGAAATGTGATAATGATTCGGTTTTTTCTCTTGACCACGAAATCACAGTTTTGGAACAGGAAAGTCACCCCCAGTAGGTGATTCCACAAATTGGGTTGACTCATTGAATTGTGGCTTAATTTTGAGAATACTTTCGTTTTGAACCCATCAACAACAATTGGTAGTCTGGTGTCCCGGCAGGTGACAACACAAGAAGTAATAAAATGGTGATGATGACATAATGAATGAACTATGTGGCAGTATTGTAGTGTTATGGTGGAAAAAGCAGCATGATCTGTGGTCTGGGCAAACTAGGTGTTACAATGGCTTCTATCATAGCTTGTATTAATTACCATCATTGCCATTGCATTTCATGTTGGTTTTATGATGAGGGAAGCATCCGGTAGTACTGTAGGTATCACTGATTGGGAAAGTCGACTTTGTTAATGGCAAGGCTAGGGTTAGGCCGTGTTGTTGGCAATCATGTTAGTGCCCTTTGTGCTTTTATACATGATGAACAAAACATATGTCTAGTGTTCAAACCATATGTCTAGTGTTCAATTCAAAGAGAGGCTTGCCCCCATGATAAGAATTGCTGTTAGCGTCCCCAGTGGAGGTAAGGCTGCTTACATCTTATGCTTCCCAAACCCTGCTTTAGTGGAAACTTCGTGCATTGGGTCGTCCTCCTTTAAGATTTGTTGAATTGAGTTACAGATCATGACATGGGTATTTCGGATGCAAAAAATGGTGTCAGGCTCTCAAGTCTCTACAAACACTGGTTTCTAATTTCACAAGTACTGCCATATCAATGTATTGCATTTAAAATTGAAAGTATTGCATTTTTTTTAAAAGCCATACACAGTAGTTTAAATATGACGTAATTTTTTTTTTCCTTTAGCTTCAAATATGAAGTG